GCCATAATGCGCATATTCTCCACCTGCTAACGAGACAACTGGAGCATCAGTCGGCGTACGTTTTAGCGTTCTGATATCTTTTGGTAGACCTTCAATTTTGTCGCTTAATAAGTCCAATAATTTATTAGCATGTACATTGGACACATTGCTCTCTAYAAACCATGCAGCTAAACGTTTATTGAAATCAATAACGGCGCMATCGGACGAGTTCTCACTTTCATCAGAAATATAATCATCGTTTGGCAACAAGGAATCTAAATTATTCTGTGCTTCAGGCACAACCTCCTGTTCCACAAATTCACTCTGGGTACGTACAGAACTTGCAGCCGCACCGTTTCATAGATGTTTAAAAATTTCGAAGCTCCTGCGCACAACACTTTTCTTCTTTTTTGCTGCAGACATTAAATAAGTAGATTATTACCTTTTTTAATAGCAAATGATAATTAAAGGTATCAAACGCACTTAATTTAACAATTTTAATATCATAACTTATTAGCACAATCTTCTGCGGCTAGAACTACACGTTTTGCTTAAATTTATGAAACACTTGCATTTGCAAGTAAATTGTCAACGACGTTCGCAAAACACTTGCATTTGCAAGCAAATTGTCAACGACATTCCCAAAACTCTTATTTATGCAAGCTTGCTGCAATCTTAATTTACAAAACACTTGCCAATATGTTTGCTGGGTACATATTTAAGAGTAGTAGTACATGTCAACTCTTTATGCTCGAAACACTTCGCAGACTTTGGGTTCGTTATCTTCTATGTTAACGTGGCCTTGGATTATTAGAAGTATTTAGTCATCACATCATCATATACATACATATACATACTATATATGTAACTATATTATCTTATTTATTATTTGCAGTTTGGGATTTCAACATTGGTTTGCTTGGTGTTGCAGGCTGAAAATATTTATATGGCCGGTAATGATTGTACCCTTACTAATGGAAACAAAGGTAAATGGCGATATTTCCTGGATCAAGTTGCAACGTCCCTAAATCGAACGATTCAAAACCATACAGTTTGTGCAGAAATCGAGTCGGATTCAATCCAACCGTTGATGAATCATTTTGCACGTTTTGAAGATCTAAAACTTGATTCCCTACTGGCACTTATTACTCAGGCCAGACAGCAAATTAACTAAAATGATGCAGGTGCATAATAATTTAGAAACATAAACTTATGAACGATCGGATATGAGATTGCAAAACCTAAAGTTGAACTAAATGACTCATTTTCAAAAAAACTGTAACTGTAAACTGAAAAATTTGTTAAATATTTGCAAATTATTCAAAAGAGATTTATGCAGAAGTATGCACATTACTAAAATATCTTGGACTATATAACCTGTGAACATGGCAACAGTTGAATGCATAATATTGTTAAAAATTTGATGTCCAGGTTAGCAACAAATATGGTCTTATCAAATAAGGCTTGTCCTTGGCTGATATAACAGAAAATATAACCGAATATGTAGTTTTGGTAAAGTAGCTTCATCTTCTATGTTTCAACGTTTTATTTAATGCAGATAATCGATCTGCTTGTCTGTTTGTCTTAAATCCATTTTTAAGTTAAAATTTGTATTTTTATCACTTTTTTTCTAAATTAATAAAACCTTGCACTCTTAATTTTTAACGGATCTGTCACCGCTATTGAAATAAGCAACTTTACCAAAATAACATTTTTGTAGATATATTAATAGAGTTTGTCAATCTTTAGCTGACGATTTAAAGTTACATAAAGAAATAACAAGAATTTTGAAATAATTGTCCTTTTTATCATTGACTTTATGTATATTTATGGTTTTTTGGTGTTTTGTAAATATTTAAAATATACATGAACTTAGTATTAGGATCAAATTTTATTTAACACAAGAGATGAATATATTGATATCTATTATAGAAACAAATTTGTATGAACTAAAAAATAAGACGAAGGCATATGCAATGAGACTAATTTCTAGTAGTCGTGACATTTTTTAATCCGTATCTTCTTTCCTAATTCATAAATATAACAAATACATTCATAAAAAGAAAATAAATAGATAAATGCTTCGTTGGTGCTTCTATTCTCAAATTGAATATAAATTGTATCAATAAAACRAATTATGTTACTACAGAATACTTACATAAATGCATATGAAAAGCATTTCTATGCATGAAGCTTTAGATATATGCATATATTCACATATTGACGGACATTTAGATACGCGTAAAATTTATTTATCCATTCATTCATCAATCCTGATCCCGTTTTAACCGTGTTCGAATTTTTAAACAAATGTAAAAATAAATATTTTTCAATAATAACATTTAAGAATGGTAAAATTTTGTCATTTTAGTAATGGTATGGGCATATAGACATTCAGCTCATTTTGCTTAGTTATCTAACAATAATTTGTAAAATGGCGTTCAAACAATGACTTCAGTTAGGCAACTATTTTCTTTTATGATCTAAAGTGAAGTTTTTACTCATTTAAATAGACGGTTTACATGCATAGCTACTAGTGGAAAAATATAACAAATGTACTGGATAAATATTATAAGTTGAAACTCTACTTTGTGTTCAATCACTGGATGCTGTAAGTCACATTTTTATGGCTATCTACTGGTCTCTATTTCTTATATAAATAACTTAACATTTTATTACACTTTCTTGGAGTTTCTATATTTCATTTACACTTAAAGAGGCAACACTCTAATTAGAAGTGCTTCTGCCAACCAGGCTGGAGAAATATTCTAGGAATTAATCACCTTTAGTGGCCGCTTCTTTTCGTAGAATTTCGAGAATTACGCCTGTACATTAGGAGCTTGAAATGCCGTCCCACAGTTCACGTATACCGAGTTGCTGATGAGTGCACTCGGGAGTGCAGGAGACCAAGTCGAGCAGAAAATCTTTCGGCTGTCTGTTGTGATTGCAGCTTCTCGACGTGGAATCTTTCTTGTTTATTGGCGTGCGATTTTTGCTGCCAGAGGCGGGAGCGTATCTTCGCTGCAACAAGATATGGTCATAGTCACATGATCCATCTGGTGGTTGTCTTTTCGATCCGGAGATAGCCAAGGGTAGAATATAGATTACGGAATTGAGATTACGTCAAGTATTTACCATATATAAAATGAAGTGTGCAGTCACGAGGTGCAATAATTATTATGCAAATTAAATTCGAGTTTTATCAGTTTTCCTAAGGATATAAAAGTTGGCAAAAAAATATGGAACTTTTTTTGTAGACAAAATAAATTCCACAATCATAATAATTATAATTTCTAATTTTTTTTTTAAATATT